AGAATTTTAGGGTTATGAAAGTTTGGGGGGAATTAATGCACTCCAACACAGCTTGTTCTAATTCTACAACCCCTCTTTACAGAAGTAGCAGAACAAGAAGGTACAAGGAGAAGCACACGAAAAAGGAAGCTCTGTTTCTCTCAAACCTGAGAATTCCAACTGAAAAGCCCCAGCCTTCCTCCCTCACCTGTGATGATGACAACTTTTCCAAAGGAAACACTTGCAGTCCATTCTCCGTAAGGTCTCTACCCCATCCCGGAGAAGAAAAAATTAATGGGGAGGGGCCAGGCAGCTGTCATCAATACTCAGAGAAGGTTTTATGCCGGGGAGAGGGAACCATCCCCTTATAAAAGTCTGTCACATGCTTAGGGAAGTGTTTTGCACACTGGATTCATTCTTTCCCACAATCAACTTTCTGATTTGTGAATGTCAACTCTACAGGATGCCTAAAAGACTTGGAAAAATTCAAAGGAAGATGAAGATGGGAACTAATAACCAACCCACCATCCCTCTGAGCAGCAGTGAGATCCTAGAGGGAGACATCTTCATACATCCTACAGAGTGTAACAGCCACCTGTACCCACACTCCTGAGAATTCCAGCACTGCTAACTTTTTATAGTCTCAACTTTTTACATGAAATAAAAGACCACCTTATTGACCATAATTGTTTGTCTTACAGCTTATTCAGTATGCAAGTCAAACATGCTAACTTCATGTACTGCATTACCCATGTTCTAATGTGGAATGATACACTCCAGCAAGAAGCCCTGTGTGCTGTCTACTGAATTCCTGGTTTTAACGTACAAGTCTGCCATAATAAACATAAAATACACCCTTTTCTAAATAAAAGCTTCAAGGCACTTTCCACAACAGAAGATTTTCAGAGTTTTTCGAGTAAACAGCCTCTGAGGAAAACAGCAAAATTAGGAAATACTCCTTTTGACATACAATTATATGAGCCATTTTCTTTCTCTCATTTGTTAATGATGCAAAAGGCACTTCTCAAAAACAGTTTACTACACTAACAAGAAATATTGGCAAAATAATTAATTTCTACCTGTCTTGTGTTTTAGCAACTGGAAACTAGCAGCACGTAACCAACCAATTCTCCACAGACTAACAGCAAACCCTGTATGTTTTAAGAAATGTTCTGATTTATGTAGCCTGTCCTTTAAGATTATTTCTGAACATAATAGATGAAAAAGAAAGAAGAAAAGATTTGCAAAGCTGAACAATGGGATAATAAGCCTGTGAACAACTAGGCAAGTTAAAAGTGAATCCATGGGAGGAGAGCATTATGTCATCCTAAACACGTTGATCTAAATAGTCAACCCTTTATTACACTCAGGATTTTATTTACACCACTTCACAGATATGACTTAAGGCATTTTATTCAGATGTAGTGGTTCTCCCTTTTGTGTTGATATAAACGACACATTTCAGAGACATTATTTTGTTAAGAATTTCTGCGGGTTTTATGCAGCTACAGTTTTTATGCAGGATATTTTCTTACAACATGCCAGAGATGACCACTATAGTGTATCAGCTGATATCAAAAATAATAATAATAATAATAATATATCTTCCAGTTATATGGCTCAATGTCAGAAACAACACAAATTTAAGAGGCAAACTGTTCTCCAGGTAGTAAAAAGCCATAGCTAGCTTTAAGTAGTGACTAATTGCAGCATCTATCTTTAATTTACTGTGAAATGCACCTCTGAAATCCTATCAACAGATTTTGCATTTACTGTAGTTGTGACAGAAGTCAGTGACCTTAAAATGTTTTCACCTCTCAGAAGTTGTAAAGGTTCAAGCAAAAAATGTCTGCTTAAGCAAAATCTTGACGTCATAATAACTAACCCAAATCTGTTACCCTCTAGAACACATGCACAAGTTTTCAGTAATTTGAAGAGCTGCCTAACAGCAAGAAATTCACACTCTTGAGGCAGAAGCACCACATCAGACATTGTAGTTATAAAGAAAATTCAAACCTAGATATGCCCAAAACAAAAAACCAAGACACTCCAGTCCTTCAACTAGGAAGGCTCACAGTCCAGGCTTTGGTCATGTGAGGAGTCACTTTATAGAAGGAGCTAAATTACAAACTTAAAGTGCAGATGGAAAGGACGAAAATATCCCTGAATACTCTCATCATCACAAGGAAATCAAAAACTGACCTCACATTGCTATTTCAGCCAGCAATTTTTTTTTTTATAAATTATAGTTTCCTTGCAAACTTTGAGTAGTTACTCAAATGCAGAATTCATGCTTATTATTATTAATTAAATACTGATAAGCTGTTTTTAACAGCTAAGAGTACAATAAATAATTTAGTGAGTTACGTATTTCTTCTCTATGCCGTTGGACATTGTTTTAAATTTTATATAGAACGCTTATCTTTTCCTTCTAGTTCTAGACTAACTACACCACCAGCCCTTCTATAATGTAGACCACTTAAAAATACAGAGCTTGACCTTAGTAACAAGACTGCATCCATCAACATGGATGGAACAGTGCATTAACATAAAAGGAACCAGGGAGAAAATTCAAACTAACAGGTTTAGCGATATATTTCTGATTTTTGTTTTAAATCAACATATTGATGCTTGAATTAAAGAAAATGTGGCACCCTGTTTCCATAGAAGATGCAATTTTGAACATCTTTCAGTATAAAAATACATCAACTTTAACTAAACTGTCCTTCATTTCTCAGACTTACAGATGCTATAAAAGACTTATGTCACACAGAACAGTCATCTCAGCCAATGATTTCCCCTTTTATGTACCACAGAAGAAAACTACTGTGATTTTCTAGACTACCTCAAAAACATACATAAAAGATGGCAAAACCATTATACACTTGCTATACGCCAAGCCATACAGTATCACAAATGGCCTTTTGTGATATGAAAGGGTTAATCACTGCTTTCAATTACACCCAAATAACTTTAATGAGAGGGAATACTGCAGCAACATCTATAAACACAGTGACCATATTAGCAGAACAACAGTTATGAAACCCCTGCCAACAGTACTTGTAGAGGGATTTTTTTGTTTGTTTGTTCTAATCAAGATCTAGAAATCTTACCAAGTTCTGCTGCTTGGGGTATTTGCAGAGTGCTGCAAAAAATCTCTAAGACTAGGCAGCTTTAGAGAATGTAACATGCAATAGTAACCATGACGATAAGAAAAATGCTTTTGCTAATCTTTTTCTTTCAGTTGACAATACTTTCAAATACTGGTGTTTTTCCACTGGATTACAACTTTTTTCTATTGCTTCCTGTGAATCCAGGCCTCCTATCCTTGTAAACCTCAAACTTCTGACCAATGCACAGCAGTTTGGGGTGCACTGGTAACACAGAATGAGTCCTAACCAGTCCATTACCATCTGAAAAGACTGTGATAGGATGGAAATCAATGGTTGGCAACTACGTTTTATTTCGCTGTTGCACTGAACAGGTATTGAAAAAAATTATTACATTTTTAAGATAATTACTTTGCAAGTAAATGGGGAATCTAAAAAATAACAAAGGCAGAATGTATATAGGGTATTTCTATGGAGATCATAAAACTGCTGAGGTAGGTTACAATTTGGCCCTAGGCAGGCTGATCATAAATTTTAAGAAAACTGCCTGGAACTCCTCTGCATTGATTTTGTCTTCGTTTTGTATTAAGTTGGAGTTTTAAGCAATAAAAAATAAGAGAAATAAAGATTATTCTGAGATGAATCTTTGCTCACTACTATTTCTCCAACAGAATTGCCCCAAAAATCAGGATAATGCTTTAAAAAGATGTATGGGATAAGGATCTGAAGTCACATTTTGAAAAGTGACCAAAGAGACGATTTTCAAAGGCATTAAGATACCTAAAGATGCATTAAGCACTTAGAATTTTCAAAACTGCCTGGGCATCTAACGCCTTTTTAAATCACTTAGTCCTTTCTGAAAATCCCAATGGGCAGTTACCTACATTTTATGTATCTATATGCCTTTGAAAATCTGTACCATTAAATACTTAACAACCTAAGCCCCCGTGGCTTTTAATGGGACTTTGAGTTCTAAAAAGTGTAAGTACATCTAGAAATTGGTCAAGCCACTCTCTCTGGTCTTTTTTTTCTTTCTTTTAAAGAGCCATCTCCTACTGCTTATCCATAGCATGTCAGTTAACTACAGCTTCAGCACTGTCTAATTTACACACCGTACTGTGCACATTCAATTTATGTAGCTAAACAAATAAACGTCCCAAGTATGGACTGCATCCTCACAAGACTTCTTGAAACTCCTGAAAAGAAATGCAATTCCAACCTGTAACGCCAGTGAGTGCCCCAAAAAAATGGTGTTTTCAATAAATATGATCCAGAATGAGTATAATTTAAGCTGATAAAGAACAAACATCACAGTTTAATCACCAAGCAACATATTCAAAATATGATAAAAAGGTTCTTAAAGACAGCCACACACCAAGGGGAAAAAAAAAAACAAACACACAAAACCAGAAAAAGAAGGAAGTTGTGAATAGGCTCTTTAAATAGGCAGCAGTTCCAGAAAAGAAGACAAACCTTACCTTAACTCTGAATTTTGTTTTAAACAAAACTGTATTAAACTATAAAGCATTCCCTTATGCAAATATTAGAAAGATCTATCTTCTGATCTTCCATAATGTCAATAGCAGGTAACTTGCACTGACCAAATTCCCAAAAAAGACCTGATTTGTAAATTGGGAACGCAGGGAATCAGATTGCCACCTACAGGAAAATTTAGCATTTATTGTCAAGAATGACTCAAAAAGAATACAAATTGCCATCCTGCCAAGCATTCTTTCAGTTCTAGCTATTATTTCAAAACCAATTAGTCTTTTCTTTTGTGCAACTATATCGTGAACTTCCTAAATCCAGGCAGCCATTATCATTTCTTTTTACTTATGAGAGTAGAGCTTTAAAGTTCCATAATTCAATTACAAAATCAAGTATCAGTTAAAGAATGTTAAATCTGCTTACCTGATACAATTGGTGCTAGCCTGAATATGTCTGATAGTCTGCTGTTAACTGGCTCGTAAGGGGAATCTTCAAGCAAGTCATTTCCTAAGGACGAAAAAAATTTGGATTTTTTTCTTATATAAGAATTCAGGGTAAGATTTGTTTGTTTACTTTTACTCTGTAACAGCAAAATGTACTCCCCCTTAACCTGTTTAAGTGGCTACTTATCTATAAAAACACCTGAAAGAAACTGTCATCAGATCTTTTCTCTCCTTCCTCCTTGGATAAGGTCATAAGTTTCAGAGACAGCCTGTGACATCACAGGGACTGTCCCATCTCATGCCAGCAGGAGAGAAGCAAGGGTGTCCCTCTTCATTCACTGTAATAGCAGAGCTCTTTTTTAGAGAAGCTCAGCTAACAGCCAAAAACTAGCATCTTTGGAACAAAACACTCCTAACAAGATGCTAGTGGAAGATAAACTTTTTATGATACAGGAAATGTTCATTATTTTAGGTAGCCAAAAAACATATATTGACTCATTAAAACATATGGATAAATGAACAGGAATGCATTATTTATTGTGTTGCAGAAGCAACTTAAAAAAAAAAAAGTTAAATGGAGACCACACTGAAATTAAAGACTGCACCTTCACCTCCAGGGCCACAGCTAAACAGGGCTAAAAGTGCTAAAAATGCTGTCTCTCAAACGAGGACGTGACTGTTCTCAGTACACTGTGGGAAATTTGCAAGCGATATGAATAACAGAAGCTACAAGACAATCAGTGTCACATCCCTTCTAACTGGCACATCTAAGTCCTCCAGGAACCATAAACTTGGGGGGTTGTTTCTGCCTCAGCATGCCCAGGGAAATACAGGAAAGGAAAAAAAATAAACTTTTCCTTAAAACCATGCTCCTCTTCATATTACATTTAACTTCCAGCAAAAAGCTAAGAAACTAGTCCCAGTGTCCTGTGATCTTGTTAGGTAAGTCCTAATTAATGAGTTCTAATACTATTAAGAAAACGTCTCCAAATGATTGTTTTTGTGGCTCTTGCACATGCTACTGCCCTTATCTTTCGACTCTGGTTTAGAAAGGTCAGCTGGGTCCCCTGGAGGAAACTCTCATTGTGGATTTCCCAACAACAGGAGACGGAGCAGCAGCTGGCCTTGAGGCGGATGAAAGGTCCTCAGTTCGCAGCTGAAGAGCACAATGTGAGCTCCGGGGTCAGAGCCCGGGTGGGCTCAGTGGCAGCCGCTAAACTGCGGATGTGAGCGGCTGCAAACCCACACGCTGCACCGGGGGAGTGGGGCGGCTCTGTGCTTTGCAACGTACCCTGCAAGCTCTGGTACATGCTCCAGTAAATGCGCAGGCAGTTTTTCTCCTTCTTCATGCCCCTCTTACAGCGACAGTTGTACAGGGATTTCTGCTTGAGAGCTTCCATGGCGCTTCTGCATTCGTCCTTCGCCTCCAGGCCCGTGGCCCGGCTGAAGTTGCTCTCTTTGCCGGCTACACACTGCCTCAGTGTCCTGTATTTAGTACTACAGCTCTGCTCCTTCAGACACTGATCGCTGGCTTTCACGCAGTCGAGGCGGTCCCCTCCAGGCAGCCCGCTCACTTCTGCACACAAAAGTACATCTACAGAGAGGAGACACAAACCAACAAACACTCCTTGAGGGAGAAGGCGGATGTAACCGGGGCTCCAAAGAAGCATCTGGGAAGCACCGGGCACCTCCTCACGCAGCACATGCTGCCAACCCCACGGGCAGCACCTTGCAAACCTGGCTTCGTGCTACGCCTTAGAAAAAAGCACACAGGGTTTAGATCCACTTTTTGGGGAAGTCCAAGGAAAAGGTAAGTTTTAACCCTGTTGGTTGATTTATAAGGAAACACAAAAAGGAAAGAAAACCCACAGGGGTTAATGTGCCTGACAAAACAAGCATTCGTTATTCCATAGATCCACTTTGGTGAAACAAATCAGCTTTCCATCCGAGGGTTTAACTGAGGGGTTAAATATTCAGCCTCCCTTTCCACAAGAGCTTTGCTGTAATTTCAATTACATCCAGGAACAGCCCGCTCAGAGAGATAAGTATCCTCACTGATTGATATTAGCCTGTCTTGGCGTCACTTTTTAAAGGCTGTACACATTTTTGCTTATTCTATATGTATAAAGGTAGAATTTATTACTCTTCTCCCCCTCTCTCCCCCCTATTTCTCTCCACGCATGATGCTTTTGCAGGAGAACAAAGCAAATTACATTAACTCTCTCCTCTCCATCGTGCCCCTGTCATGCTCCCTCAGACACATGAGGATGGAAACGCAAACATCTCCTGTGGAAAGGAAACCAGTTTGGGCTGTAAACTACTAGCAGTCGGGCACGCTGCCAGGTGCAGGTGAAGATACAATCCTTCAGCTGGCTCTTGTCACCCCCCACCCTCCCCAGGCAGCCTTATTTTATTTAAATGAAAAGTTTCCCTGTAACTTGCGAGAACCCAGTTTAACAAGAGCCTAGACAGGCAAGTATCGAAGTCTGTAACCTCGCAGAGCTTTAAATGTAGACTGGGCTAACTGATGTGAGGCAGAGCCATAAAAACTACTGGAAACTTCACTATTCTGCCTAAACAATAGACTGACAACCTTCAGGTTCCCGATCCCATACACCCTACGCTTTGCTTTATGAAGCGATGTACAGACCGAAATCAGGCACCAGCAACTTACCTACTAAGGGCAAAGCGAAGTACAAGAGAACGAGAAACATCTTGCTGTCTTCGGATGGTTTCCCCACACAACTTGATGTGTCACAATAAAAAGGATCAGCATGTAGATATTCCAAAACCACCGAGGTCCAAAAGCTCCAAGTTCAGATCCATTGAATTCAATGGGGGGGAATAAAAAAAAGAAAAAGAAACAAAATCACACAAGCCCCTCTTCTCTTCACCGCTACCACCACCGGCGGCAGGAGCAGCGACGCAAACGCTGAGCTTTTCCCTTAGATTTCAGGTCTGAGCAACCTGCACGCACCAGCACTGACTCCAGTGCGGAGCCAGAGGCGCACGCACGGGTATATGTGTGTGTGTGTGTGTGTGTGTGTGTGTGTGTGTGTGTGTGCGAGCGGCAGCGGGGCAGGAGCGCCGGTCGCCTCCTTGGGTGGGCAGCGCCTGTTCCCAGGGAGGGACCGAGAGCATACGGGGGCGGGAGGAGGGGGGGCACACCCGAGACCCGCAGCGCCCGCCCGGCCCCGCTTGCGGCCCCGCACCCGCGGCTCCCCGAGCCCCCCGGGACAATTCGCTCCTTCAGCCCCCAGACCGCAACTTTATTGACTGGCGGTGCCGGGGCGGTGCGCGGGGGCGCGCAGGCTGCGCGGAGCGCTCTCCGCCGGGGCGGGGCGGGGGTGGGCGCGGGTGTCACCGCCGGCAGCGGCGGCGGCGGCAGCCAAAGTTTGGCAGGGAAATGGGTAAGGGCGGGAGGTGCGGCTCCTCCGGTTCTGCCGCCCAGAGCGGAGCCCCGGCGGCTCCAGAGCGTTTCCGAGCGTCCGCTGAGCGAGGCGGGGGAGAGGCGGCGGCCCCGGGGATGACCCGGTCCCCGCCCGCCCTCCGCAGGGGATCGGTGGCCACAGCCTCCTTCTGCCGGCCCCGCCGCCCGCGGGGGAAGCCCGAGGCGTCCCGGGGGCGGCGGAGGCACCGCCCGTCCCTCCTCCGCATCCCTGTATGGGGCGGGCGAGCCCTGCGCCCGCCGAGCCGGGACCCGCATCCCTGCGGTGCGCGGTGCGGTCCAGCCCTCGGCCGGGGCCGAGCGGAGTGTATCGGCTTCCACTTGGCTCCTGAATAAACAAAGAGAACATATGTCCCATATTCGTGACAGATGGTTCAAACAGAGAACTATTTAGTGGTTTTTCCCCCAGTTGCTACTATGTACCGCTCTCCCGAAACCCAACAAAATGCAATTAGCCTGAAATAGCATCAGTTTCCAGATTTCCTTGTTTTCATATGTGGAAAATTTGATTCAGGTGTTTTTATGTTCTAGCTGCAACCAAATGTGTTCAGGTGTTTGGGTTGGTATTATTAATTTTTTTATTTCTTTTTTTTTAAGTCAGTATATACGTTCCTTGGTAGTTTTGTCCACAAGCTATTTGGCTCATTTGACTTAAGGAATTTGCCTCTCCTTGCAATAAATTTTGCCTAAAGGAGTTTGTCTTGCCTCATGAGATGGGAGATGATCAGGCTGGCCACTTTTACAGCAAAAACTGGATGGCAGATGGAGCTAAATTGTTGTGAGGTACTTCAGAAACACTTATTTAAAAGCCTAGCATATGCCAGGATGTACAGAGAGTGCAACAGTCACAGAAGGGGCTTTTTTTAACCCAAAAAACCCCGCACAGAGTACTGGTTCTTTCGGTGAAGTTGTAATAGTGATGTCAAGTTGCAGCTGATTAAGTCACAACTTTTGTGTTTTGGTTGTTTATATGAAGAGGCCCATACTGTTATATAGTCACAAAATCTATTATCTGCTGCTCCTACAAGGACAGAATTGGAGAAACAAACACAAAGACCAGATTTCTAGAATATTTCAGGATAATTAGAAGGTGCTAAGGTGGTGATAGCATTGACAACTCAAGACAGCTTCAGCCTTTCAAGTAGCTGGTATTTAATGAAACAAGTTGGCCTCCCAAACACTTCAATACAAATTGAACTGGGTGATACAGAGAGATGATTACTTCTTTGCTAGTAATTTTGACACCATTATGGCACATAATAAGCTTTGTATAGAAGTTATCTGTATATCTAATATAGAGGTAGCATAATTCTCCTGTTATTTAGAAGTCTGAATCAGAAATAGCTACACCATTCACAGCAGGGTATAGCAACTGAAAATAAGACTGAAATCCACTTCTTATGAAATCATTCATGCTTTAATGTCCTGAATACTTATATACACACATACATACACAGAAGTTATTTGGCCTATAAAAGCAACATATTGCAAATCTCTGCATTAATAGCTACTTATGCTGTTGTAAAACACAGATTTTGTGGGGTGATTATTATTACAGTAAAACCAAAATCATGTTTTAAGTTTTAAAAGTCAAATAAAATGTCACTGACAGTTCAGAAATAACAAGACAGCTGGAAAACATGCATCCAAAATTCTGAATATTGCCCCTAAACACTCCTCCTGCCAGTATTTTGACTCATCTCTGGACAACTACCACCAAAAATGAAAAAGGGTTAAAATGTTTTAATCAAAAAAAAGTTTAAAATGCAAAACCATGTTTGAAAAACAAAATCTGAGAAGAAAGTTCATGCTACATAGAGTTGCTCAGAATATACACCTGCTGCACAGTCTTTAACAGGACCACAGGTGCAAAAACTTCTTGAAAATCACAAGGACATTTGTTCCACAGCAGAAATTACCTTTTTTTTAATTATTTTTTAGGTAGTCCCTATTCTTTCCATTTATGACTAAACTAATTTCCAAGTCCTGGAAATTAGCCCTGAGTAGTACACTAGTACTTTACTCTCTCTCTAGAGGATCTTTGTGGTTTTGGGTAGCTGAAGTCACTTGTGTGTTGAATTGGTGTCCCATTAACACACAAGGTATGCAGCTTTCCTGAACTGAAGTGCCATGTGCTATTAGTATTGTTTATGTATAGTAGCGTGCCATAAATTGTAGCTACAAATCATTATCAGTTTTTTCAAGAATTTAAAAATATACCAGACAAAACACCACAAGCCACTCTGTGGCTGGAGTCATAATGCTTCTGCTCTTTGCACATTGTTTTCCAATTGCCTTTCACCTTCTCTGGGGAGTAAAATTTAGTCAATGGCTGCTTCACTGTTGATTTCAGTCAAGCCAAAGTCCACCTTACGATTTGTATCTGTCAATCACTCCACTCACGAGCTTCTTCAGTCAAATGAAGAATAAAAGAATAAGCCATACAGAAGTACCTACAACAAACATTTTAAAGATTTTTAAACTTTTTTAATACTCTGTTGATTAAGTTTTATTTAAAAAGGTTTCAGAACAATTAATATAACATAACATACATAAGGTACAGCTGGTAAGGAAGCTTTCATTAGAAGCAAGGTGACAACACAATCACCACTGAATTACAGTTTAAAGGCCATCACAGTATAAATAATTTGGAAGACAGAACTAACTACTCCAAGCTCTTTGCTGCTAGCATTAACTGATGGTACTTCAGTGTTTAAGTAGCTTTAGTTACTGGGTTCTTTCTAGTTGGAAGTTGTTTTACAATAGCTAGTATTCTTTCCTTGAAAACTTTTCAAGAAGAAAAGACAAAGTAATGAGGATTGTGGGGTTATTTGATACTAAAGCTTCAGTAAGAGACAAGTGCTTCAAACACTTTTCTCTCCAAGTAGGTTGAGGTTAAGTGTAACCCCTAACAGTGGTCAGTTTTAAACTCCCTGTCACCTTGCAGCCAGGTCCCAAATGCTCTGAATGCAGCAACAGCATCAAGAAACAGCAACCTGTAAGCAGAACCACCTGACCCTGGAGGCCAGGCAGACAAGGTGTGTGAAGTCAGAACACAAATTTTGCTGCATTCAGTTTTACTGGATGTCCTTCTGCCTCATCCTTTGCATGTCAATTAGTGGTTGACAGCGAACTCTTTAAAGGGCATCATGTGCAAAGAGACCTGACTCAAACGCAGTGGATGTTGTTTTGCAGCCAGTTCCACTTGCAAAAGCTGTGGTGTTGGAGCTCTGCTCTGGGTTGGCCTGGCTGGCAGGAGTTCAGGTGACAACGTACCCAGGAGCTGAAAGTTGAATTAATACCTTGCCTGGTCCACAGTTAGCCTGCAGATTCCCTTTGCCATCTCTGCCATACACCTCATTTTGAAGACTGAAGTCTGCAAGAAAATATTGAAGTTGGAGTCAGTGAGCCCAGGGAACATTACACAGTATTATCTTCAGGTAGGTATGTGAAGAGAAAGTATGCTGAGAATAAGAACGGTGCCATGAACTTTAAATGCAATTCTTTGGGGAGTGAATAGGTGAAGAAAAGCTGAAGCTGAACTAATGAGTCAGATCTAGCAGGTGGGGGAGAGCAAGCAACTGATGGGAAAAAGTCTGTGTGCCATTGGAGCACAAAAAGTAGTGTTTACACGGGAGGCTTTATTCAATAATGGGAAAGGGAGAATAGAGAAGTTAGAGAATTACAAGGGACTGGAGGAACAATCTGAACCGCATTTTTTTGTCTTACATTTATCTGCTTACCATGAAGTCGAAGTGCCTTGTGGTGGGAATAAGGCAAGAAGGATTTGCTCAAGGCATTAAAGTTTTGTAAAGGGCAGATTAAATAACAGTGCTCCAAAAATCAATTTTGAGGGGCTTATGAAGCCTTGAATGGGCTTTTGCAGCACAAAAGCAAGATTGAGTTTTTACTGAACCTGTCATTTATTTGGGTTTAGAGCTTTCAGTAAGCATCAGAGAAAACATAAAACAAAAGCAAAGTAAGCAATGAGCATTCACAGAGCAATCAAATAAAAAACACATGGAAGTGCAATCCAGATCACAAAGTGACTTAATTGATGCAAAAGTATAAGAAAAGAAATTCATCATCTGCACACTACACCCCCTGCCCCTGCTTTAAGGAGATCTGATAGTGAATTCCCAAAACTGACTATTCTCAGCTGTTCTTGACCGGGAAGTTTTTCCTAAACTCTTGCTTCCCTGTCCTCACCAGAGGTTGGTGTAGCAACAGGCCACCTGGAAGGAAAAAGAAAAAAAAAAAAAGAAAGGATAAAAGAAAGAAAAATAAAGCTGCAGAATTCCTCTGTGAATATATGAGCCGAGTATGATTTCAGTAGAAAAGATACATGAACACTAAAACAGTACATTGCAGTTCAGAGTTTGTAGTGAAGAAACACGACATACTGCTTAACCCAAAAAGTGTGAAAATACAGACAGAACTGCAGCCCCTTGTGAAGCTCTATATCTTATAGAAATTATTCCATTTAACTCTAAATCCTGATATCACTGATATAGACACTGATGTTTGCCCAAACTAGTAAGGAAAGAATTTTTAGGACAGACCGGTCCTTGCATCCCTCGATTGGTGGCTTGTTCCTTTAAAAATGGGATAATACCTCCCCCTGGCTGTTGGTGGGGACAATGCAGGCTAACGTGGGAAGGGATTCCTGACTCCACAGCAAAACAAGGCTCTGAATTCCATGGCA